AGCTTGATTACTTGAAAATATCCTAAATTTGAAAATTCTAGAATTTTAAAATATTTAAAAATATGACAATTTGAAACTTTTAATGCAACAACCCACATTTACATTCTTTGTAAATAATCATATGATTAGTTACAAAAAGTACAAAAAATAAGTAATTATATGAAAATTTAAGATATAAGAAAAGAAGAAATTATAAAAAAATTATGAGAAAATAAGAATTACTATTTTCATTATAACAAAGCCAATATTAACTAAATAAAAGTGCAACATGTGATTTTCGCATATGGTTTAACATCTTCGACAACGAAAAAAATTCCCGTTTTCAAAGTGACCCAGATTTTGTTCTAAAAACAAATTATTTTCGGAACTTTTATTGTCGCTATTTTTTTAAATAGTCGATACCAATCAATTTTGGTTAATAACTTTTTTCGCGTGGGTGGTTGTTCTACATATAAAGTGTTTGGTTAATTGAAAATCGTGGAATATCTCCCGAGAGATGGCAATTATTTAAAAAATATATAATATAATAACAAGCATTGTATATTAAAAGTAATTTTTATGGGGACAGTGGAAGTGAATTCTAGATTAAGTTTATTTCTTTATATCTGCTTTATAATGATCAGTTCTTATAGCAATAATCTATATAAAGAAATAGATTCGAGTAATATTCAAAATATTTTAAATTCAACAATAAAATACTTCATAACAATCTAAAAATATAAAAATACAAAATATGAAAGAAATAAATATACGAAAAATGAATTGACTTTCATAAAAAATGTTATCGTTCAGATTAATTTGTTCTTAAATTCCTCACCCACACGAAACTTATTTATATCACGTAATATTATTTCACGTAATTTAATTTGTGTGAAACAATTTCTTTATTAACGCAATACCCCAGACATATTTGCATGTTTGTAGTCAAACGATACACCAACAACGGCGGAAAATACGCGACAAAGAATCGTGGGTGCATATTCAGTATTAAATCAGAACAATAACGTGATGAAAGGGCTTATGGTTGTAGACGATATGGTAATAGATTCGTCTACGCAAACACGTGAAAAGTAACGGTATATCGTAATTACGAAATCGCATGTCAAATGGGTTATATAAAATTACCTTTCGTCAAAACGTTTTAGTCGCCGTATGATATCGTACGATATGAAGCTTGTTGCTTTTGTACTATATGAACACATATTTATTGAATTCGGTTTATTGAAATATATGTAGTTTCCTCCCATTGAATTAGGACTACGTAGGAAGATTTCACTTTCATGGCTGTAATTATGTTCTATATAGAAGATTCTTAGATCATGCACATTATTACTAAGTTGAAATATATGGAAATTTACAAATGTCGAAATAATGAAATTTGAAATATAGGAATTTTTTAATTTTCAAGGTTTCAAATTATTACACTTTGCATTTTTCATATTTTCCAATTTAGAAATGAGGAAAGATGGCAGTTGAAATATGTGGAAATTTACAGATGTCGAAATAAAGAAATTTAGAAATTTGGAAAGTTGAATACATTATTACAGTTACTCTATTACAACAATAGTACAGTAAATAGTCCCTAGCCATCAAATGAGGACTACGTACGAAAATTTCACTTTCATAGCTATAATTATGTCATATATGGAAAATTCTTAGGTCATGCAAATTATTACTAAATACATTGATAACGATATATTCATAGCAATTTGTTATTATCGTGATAATAAATTGTGTGATAAGCAATTAAGGGCCGTCCAAGCGTTTACGTTAGGCTCGAGTATCGATAGCGCGTCAGGTGAAATTTGAATGCCATAGAAAATGTCTGCCTACTCAAAAGACTATTTCACAACTCTCCAACCACATTATCTGAGTTGGAAAGAATTACAGATATTTGGGAAAATAATGAAGATATAAAGCATATGATGTATGCAGACCATGCCGGAAGCTGTAACCAAAGCAAAGGGTGGATATACAAGATATTAACATGTGTTAATGTTACGTACAGCAGTAATCATAGTAGCTAATATATCCATTTGAACAAGCCTAATTTTACATAGAACGTGAAAAAAGAGGAAAATTTGTAGTGGTCGATGGCCAGGGACTGTATATGTATTGAATCGGCCTACTGGCTATGTGTACAGGAAACTATAGAATGGCACATTAAAGGAATGAAAGTAATATTAAGAAAAAAATTAGAAAAGAGATACTGAAAAGGTCTGAGGTTATACGAAGGTCTACAATCGTGTCCTCTGTCGTAGAGAAACTTTGATCGATGTTGTAGTAATGAGAATAATAACAGCAATCATATTAGATAAATGTTTGTGTCATTATTATACATATAATGAACTGCAGACATATATTGTACGTACGCACGCATTATCGAATTGTGAAAGTTTGAAGATTTCAAATTTTTGACATCTGAAAATTGAATAATTTAAAAATTCGACTATATGAAGACGAAAATTTGAAACTAAAAATTTGAACTTTTTAAAACTTAAATTATAAATGTGAAAATTTGGAGATTACCAATTTTTGTCATCTAAAAATTGGGAGATTTGAAAATCCGAAAATTTGTGGTCTTGAAAATGTGAAACTGAAGATGTGAGAAACTTAAAAATATGAAAATATGAAAATTAAAAAATTCGGAAATACGAAAATTTGAAAATTCGAAGATTTGGACATTTGAAACTAAAGATGTTAGAAATTGAAAATTTTTAGAGAATTGAAGATTTGAAGATTTAACAATTAAAAAGTTAAAAATAATAAAAACAATAAAAAGTTAGAAAATTTGAATGTTTAAAAACTTGGAACTGAAAATTTAAAAATTAAGAAGTTTGAATATTTAAATCTTTAAACCTATAAAAATGTCGCAAAAAAACGAAAAATGTTCTAGTTTTGACCTTATTCAACTTTGCTCCATCGACAACAAAAATTGTTACCAAATTTTTGTCCGTTATCAAAAGTTAGTTATTAGTTCACAGTATCAAAGCTGTAGAATAAAGAAGAATAGCGACCGCATCACCGTAATAACAGCGGAATTAAAGTGGCTGGCCAGGAAAGGGTGCGTCCATACTTTATTCGTGCTACCGGTTATTTGACCCTTTTGCGGTTACAAGATAAATGTATATGTGTTCATAAAAACAAGTCACAGTAATTAAAATGAAAGCGACAGACATTTTAATGTCCATCTTGTTCTTTCAGTGTAAAATGACGAAATAACGGGTGCTCTTAAAAGCAGTTCTTTTAATGTTTAATGGAATACAATAGTTGTATATAAAAATTGTAATATATCTTGTTTATGAGTAACAGATGAAGGTTTATGTTATGATTGCGTTATTTAAATAGTAATAAGTTTCTAAAGGAATTGTTACTTTTGTGTCAGGATTGTTTATAGTAGTTTTACAGAACTAGAGTTTTAGGGGTTTTAGGGTACTAGAATTCAAAATTTCTAAAGTTTAATTTTTTAATTTTTTAATTTGCAAATTCCAAATTAGTGAATTAGCAAATATGGATATTTTCAAATTCTAAAATTAAATTTCGAAGTATTGAAATTTCAAATTTCTAAATTTTCAATTTCCAAATTACAAATTGGCAAATTTTCAAATTTCCAAATTTCCAAATTCCAACATGAAATTTCCAAGTATTGAAATTTCAAATTTCAAGATTCCGAAATTTTCAATTTTCAAATTCCAAATTCCAAATTGGCAAATTTCCAAATTTCCAAACAAAAATTTTCAATTTGAATATTTCGGAAATTTGAAACTTTTAGGAACACAAATTTTTAAATTTCCAGAATTCGAAATTTCCATATTTTCAAATGTCCAGTATCACAAATTTGCGAATTAATTAATTACTAAATTATCAAATTCCTAAAACTCCAAGTTTGTAAATTACAAATTTCTAAAATTCCAAATTTGCAAATTACCAAATTTTTGGGATCTCAAATTTTCAAATTACCAAATTTCTAAAATCCCAAATATGCAAATTACCAGATTTCTAAAATTCGAAATTTTCAAATTACCAAATTTCTAAAATCCCAAATGTGCAAATTACCAGATTTCTAAAATTCCAAATTTGCAAATTACCAAATTTCTAAAATACCAAATTTCTAAAATACCAAATTTCCAAATCTCAAATTTGCAAATTACAAAATTTCCAAATCCCAAATTTGCAAATTACCAAATTTCTGAGATCCCAAATTTGTCAATTACCAAATTTCTAAAATTCCACGTGTGCAAAGTACCAAACTTCTAAAATACCAAATTTCCAAATCTCAAATTTGCAAATTACAAAATTTCCAAATCCCAAATTTGCAAATTACCAAATTCCCAAATCCCAAATTTGTCAATTACCAAATTTCCAAATCCCAAATTTGCAAATTACCAAATTTCCAAATCCCAAATTTGTCAATTACCATATTCCTAAAATTCCACGTGTGCAAAGTACCAAATTTCTGAAATACCAATATTGCAAATTACCAGATTTCTAAAATCCCAAATTTGCATATAACCAAATTTCCAAATCTTAAAATTCTCCAAAATTTTCCAAATTTTCAAATTCTAAAATTCTCCAAAGCTATAAAAATTTCCAAATCCTAAAATTCTAAAAATTATCCAAATTTCCAAATCCTAAAATCCCCCCAAAATATTCAAATTTCCAAATCCTAAAATCCCCCAAAAATATCCAAATTTCCAAATCCTAAAATTTTCCAAAATTGCCGAAGTTTCCAAAAATATCGTATTTGTAACACGTGGAAAACAACCATAAAATTCCAATATCGAGCAGAATACGAAAGGACGTCAAAGGCGTTAACCCTTTCTCTTCAGACAGCGTAAAAAAAGAAAAATAAAAGCAAGGAAGTGGGAGGAAAGCTTCGGGTGCCTTTGCGTGCGGAAAAAAGAGGACTAGCTACTACATAATTTATCGATAGATTGTTTCGTAAAAGCTCGACGAAGCCGTGTACGTGTATGGGTGGGTTATCGAGTGAGTTGGGTTAGGTTGTCTGGTCGGGTGGTTGGGTGTGAGGCGCAGGAGCAGAGCACGCCAGGACAAACGGACGGACGACGTACCTTACCGAGGAAGGACTTCCAGGTCTTTAGGCGAGCTAGTTTCTCGTCAGACACTGATCGACAGACAACGCAGCAACCGTGTTCGCGAATCCTCCTTGAGGACCACCCTAAATCTCGTGAAACAGGTAAGGAACGTACCATTTGCACCAGCAGTTCGCGATTCCGTCCGCATCGACGAGTGATGTGCTTTCCTATTTTCAACGAATCCATCTTTTCTCCGGAAGAATCTCGATTCTTTGACCCGTATTCGCACCACGAGACGGTTACATGAATTTTTCCTTCGAGATGCGCAGTCTCCATTTTAGTACAAATTATCTTGTGATCTTGTTGTGGATTTTATGATTTATAAGACCGTGTCTATGCTTCGCTTTAGAAGTGCTTTTCGGATATTAATCATTGGGAATTTTTTATGGTGAATTTTGTGCAGGACGAACGGAGGATGTGGTGAACAGGTAACGCACAGCTTATGCAATTCGTAGGGTACTACCCGAATTTCGACGATTACGGTCAAATTATTAATTATTCACGGCAGTAATTAATGCAGATTCACATAGACACGTAGAGTATGTGCACAATGTACATTGCACTGTTCGAGGTGCACCATCGTGCCACGGCCCTTTAAACGATTTGAATCTGTCGTCAGGAACGTTTAAATGTGTCGTCGTTTAATCGTGAAATATTTCAGCATTGAAACATTTAAATGCTATTAAAAACATTTGTATTGTAAAAATCGTCAGTAACATTTAAATGTGTTGTCAGAAATATTTAAAATCGCTGTTAACATTTAAATGTGTTATTGTGAAAATGTATCGTTGTAAAAATCATTTAAACGTGTTGTCAGTACATCGGATTGTGAGATGTATTTTAAAGTATCGTAAAAATCATTTAAATATTTAACATTTAACTGTGTTATTTTGTAATGATATATTTCAACAACTATTATAAATTTCATTCACAAATTGGATAATTCTAGTATATAAAATTTCTTACATTGAAACATGTGTTTTAATTTTCAATAAAACTGATAGAACAGTTTTTTAATTAAATTAATCGACTTTTCAGACATTTAAACTTAATTTTTGATCAAGCTGCTAAAAATTCTTTCAAATTTAAAGAAAAATGATTAAATATCTAACAACTTATTTTCGTTTTTAATCAAACAGCTAGACATTTATTTCCAATTACAATTCTTTTTAATTTTCAATTAAACAGCAAAAAATTTGTAATAAAACCAGAGTTTTTAAATTTCTAATCAATGAATCAAAAATTCTTTAAAATTTCTAATTATCCAAATTTTTTTATGAAGCAAGTTTAAAAAAATGTTTAATCAAGCAACTAAAGTTAAAAAAAATATTTAATCAAGTAGTTAAATTTTTTCCATTTTGTTCAAACAATGACATTTTTTTAAATTCAAACAACTAAAAATTTTTCCATTTTGTTCAAACAATGACATTTTTTAAAATTCGAACAACTAAAAGTTTTTTACATTAAAACTTTCTTAAAAAATGGATTATATAAAACTAGTTGGTTTTGTTTTCACCATGAGTGAGTAATTTTTCTACGAATTTCTCGTTCGATATAAACGAATAAATTAGTCACGCGTTATTTATAAACCGTGTCATTATTCAGTAGCGCGATACAAGGGAATAAAGTATTAAATATCGCAATGGTATCGATAAAATGGCACAAATGGACACAGTTTCCAATGTGCGATGCTTCTCGAAAGCAAAGAAAAAGGGGTAGATGCATCTCCGTCGAGATTTCCGCTCGATAATCGGAATACGATGTCGCAAAAGAGCCTTTGCAGAGTTTGTAGCTTCGTTTAATCACAGAATTCGAAACATCGATCGTTGATTGATTATCGATTGTGCCAGCCAATTCTGTCGGCGCTTAAATTGCTTTTAATTCTAGCTTGCTATCGTGACTTTCGAAATCTCAAGATATTTTAACGGTAGTCGTTAATCGAAGAAACTTTTGTGGAGCTCTTGTGATCGATGAACGTGTGAGCAAAAGCCATTTTATTTAGATCGAAGCTCTTTTATCGTAGGAAGGTTAAACGTATCGTCTAAATCTGAAAAAATAAACGAGTAGGACTGACACGATGGCGAAGAGTTTTGTTACTGACAGTAACTGCTATAGGAACGAAAATATTATCATTGCTGGATTTGTTATTCGAGAACGTCGTAAGTGATGATTTAGCAGAAGTATGCTTATTCGAAGAGAACTGTGAATTTCAAGTGTTGTATTGATTTTTGGAAATTATGTCTATGACTTCTGGGAGATTTTCTAAATTTTTATTGTTGGAATATTACAAGTTTGCAGATTTCTAAGTTTTATAGAAACTTATCACATATTACATATACATATTTTACATGCTCGTACATCACACATTCGTACTTCACATTAGGTTTCATACCTCACATATTTATACTTCGCATATGTTTTCATACTTCACACACTTATATTTCACGTACTTCATACATCACATACTCATGTCACATACTCATACTTCACACATTCAAACATCACACACTTATACTTTACACTTCATACTTCATATACTCATTCCTTACATATTCAAGCTTCACCTACTCACTCTTCACACATTCAAAGTTCACATAATCAAACTTCATATATTTATGTTTTTGTTCCATACTTTACATACTTATACTTCATACATTCATATTTCCACACTTATACCTTACATATTCAAACTTCACATATGTTGTCATACCTCACGTACTCATATTTCATAAACTTCATACATTACACATTCCTACTTCACATATGGTCTCATACTTCACTTACGTTCTCATACTTCACACACTTCATACATCACTCATTCATAGTTTACATATGTTCTTTTGCCTCACACACTTTATTCATCACACATTCATACTTCACATATGGTCTCATATTTCACATATGTTCTCATATCTCTCACACTCATATTTCACACAACTTCATACATCACACATTCATACTTTACATATGTTCCTTTACCTCACACACTTTATTCATCATATATTCATACTTCACATATGTACTCATACTTCACGTATGTTCTCAAACCTCACGCACTCAGATTTCACGTACTTCATACATCACACATTCATATTTTACATATGTTCTCTTACCTCACACACTTCATTCATGACACATTCATACTTTACATATGTACTCATACATCACACATTCATGCTTCACATATGTACTCATAGTACATTATACACTTCCTACTTCACACTTCCTCATCACACACCCTTGCAATGTATTAAAATGAACCTTCTTTGCAAAATAATTGATCACAAATATCATTTGTCAAACTTATCGCTGCCATAACTATGAAACCTGAGTGTTGCTACGCAACCATCTCAATCGACACGAAAGATAGAGCTATTAGTGCGATTGCACTTATTAATCGAATCCTATTTACCAAAAATTATACTGACGTGTCACTCGCAGAATACTAAATAGGTTAGCATACAGGAAGTGTCGATGCATTCCAGATAACTATACCCACGTGACAATTGCACATCGACGCTGCAGGTGACTCAAAGATGCTGCAATAAGATAAAACAACACCGGGTGTGCACAGGCTATCCAGCTGTCGTTATCAGTCGTTACCCCCAATCCGTCTTCTCATTTTGTCCGCAACAAAGTCGTAAATATTACGGATGCACGCAAGAAACGTCTAGCGGAAAATAGCGAAGTAAACTTATCCTTGATAATAGGTATCAATTTTGCCATTGGTATTGCAATTTGATGCTCGCGAGCGAAGTTAATCTTCTGCGTGTCTTTTCTGCACATAACTTCGTAGCAAATTTAGTTTTCAAATTACTTTTATCCTACGTGTCGTGTGGGTTTACCGATTTACGATTACAAGATAAAATAGTGAATTATTTGTGCTTGATGTTTTATAATGTAAAGTTCTAGGGATATTAATCTGTTGATAATGGCAGGTTAACCCATGAGTTCTTCAGCAGATGTCAGGTACAGTTAAGGAATCGTTACAATGTTAATATAAATAAAGAAACTGAAATGTTATGTGTATTTTGGATTCAGAGATGTTTTCTGCAAATATTGAAATCAAAACATTCTTGCAGAAACATGAGTCAATCGTAGTTGAACTGATGTGTGTTAGATATCTGACTCAATGTGAACAATTTGAGAGGTTAGGATATTTCGTACAAGATCTGATTTTTTTACTTACTATGAGATTTCTTTTATATTTTGCTTGCAGAGCTGTTTTATTAATATTTTGTTGTAAATATTTGTTGAAGCTTCATGTACATTTGTTAGTATTCAGATAATATTTTTGTAGAAAAACAATGAAGAAAACATATATGAATATATGTATATATTAATATATATTAATCGTGGATATTAAGAATACACATAATTAATGTCATTCTTTCATACATCTTCTATTATTTAAATATCTTTGCCAAAGTACTTTCTTTGTACAGAAACAAAATTTTATTTCATTATATAACATTTTACAACATTTAATACATTTTAAAATATATTAACAAATTTTGTAATATTTTATAACATTTAATAGAATAAATTTTTGATACTTGGTACTTTTCTGATATTTCATGGAATATTTTATTTAATATTTATGCAGAACCTAATATTTCATTGAACACTTGTTTGCTCTTACAAAATTTCATTCAATATTTGTTACATGCTTTTTCAACTCTCCAATTAAATAATAGAAATGCAACTAACTTTGCACAATTTTTGAAAATTAATTGTATACAATTTAAAAAATTAATTATATACAATTTTACAATTTTATCTTTTGTTTAATAAAATTGCAAACATAGTCCTTCGTCTCAGTCACTTATAGCAAAACACATTCTAAACCATTTCTTTTTCTTGTTACACCAAAGTGTGATTAAAAGTTTTATCATGTAAATTTCATTTGTTGACCCAGATACAGTTCGTTAGAACCGTGTTTGCGTTAGCCATCGTATCGATCGCGTGCAATTGAAAATAATGAAAATTAGCGTGCGAGCGTGTCAGACATCGGAATTGTTAAACAAATTAATCCGTCACCATTTCTTAGCGAAATGATTCACGCTTTAATAATTTTTCCGAGAAACAGAACTTCCCTGTA